TCTTTCGTTCCAGGTCGACTCATCACAGACAATATAATTGTGGCGCAAGAACTCATTCATTCCATGCGCACGCGGCGAAGCGGCAAGGGGTATATGGTGGTCAAGGTTGATTTGGAAAAGGCTTATGACTTCTTACGGTGGGACTTCATTCATGACACCCTTGTTCTGGCAGGATTCCCACAACGGCTGATTCGTGCTATTATGTCGTGTGTTTCCTCGGCATCTATTCGACTCTTGTGGAATGGTGAAATATGTGATGAGTTCTTACCTTCGAGGGGGGTGCGACAAGGAGATCCCATGTCCCCATTTTTGTTTGTCCTTTGTATGGAACGGCTGGCGCAACAAATTTGTCGATCGGTTCAGGCGGGTGACTGGAAACCTATCGGCTTTGGACGTGGGGAAGTTAATGTTCCTTTCTTAATGTTTGCCGATGATCTCTTACTGTTTCTTGAGGCAGATGCTGATCAGGCACGAATCCTTACCGACGTTCTGGACGCTTTCTGTGCGGCCTCGGGCCTGAAAATCAGCACATCGAAAACACAAATGTTCTTCTCCAAGGTTGTCGATGAGGCTACTCAACACGACCTGGCTGCCCGGTGCGGTTTTTCTAGAGTGACCGACCTGGGCCGTTATTTGGGGATGCCCCTAATCAATGGTCGAGTTAACAAATCCACATTTTCTGGGATTCTCGAGAGAGCGGAGGGTAGCCTGGCAGGGTGGCAAGCCGCGTCGCTTTCAGCCGCGGGCCGCGTCACATTAGCTCAGTCGGTACTATGCTCGATACCGTATTATTCTATGCAAACGGTGAGTTTACCGGGGGCCGCGTGTGAGGGGTTGGACAAACTTTGTCGTTCGTTTGTTTGGGGCGGAGCGGCTACGAAACGGGGCCTGCACTTGGTTCCGTGGAATGATGTCTGCACAGCCCGAGATTATGGTGGGCTTGGACTGAAAAAATCCCGTTTAATGAACGATGCTCTCTTGATGAAATTGGGATGGGCCCTTTTAACCAAACCAAATTCACTGTGGGTTCGTGTGGTCTGCGCTAAATACAA